AAAAAAAAAATTCAGGAGCTAGGGTATAGCTCAATGATAGGGTGCTAGCCTGCTACATGAAAGCACTGGGCTCAATCCCTGATGCTGGGAGATAGGGGAAGGTGTGCCTGTTCTATGAAACTGTGTGTGGGTTATGGAGAGCATAGTAAGAACAGTGAGTTCCATGGGTTGTACCCATATTGCACTTCTTTTGCTGTGAAGGAAGTTCCTGATCAGAAACAACGCCATTATATGTATAAAATGTTCTTTAAATTGTCAAACATTCTTTAAGTCCTCGGACGGGAAACGTACCCAACCTAGAATGTCTATCCCAGTAAGGACAACACAGCACATTGCATTTTCTTTTTTTTTTTCCAGTCATGCATTTTATTTTATTTTTTATTTTTTTGGTCGGTTGTGGGGCTTGAACTCTGGGCTTGGGCGCTGTTCCTGCGCTCTTCAGCTCAAGGCTAGCGCTCTACTGCTTGAGCAACAGTGCCACTTCTGGTTTTCTAGTGTTTTTGTTTTGTCGGTCGTGGGGTTTGAACTCTGGGCCTGGGCGCTGTCCCTCAACTCCTCAGCTCTTCAGTTCAAGGCGAGCGCTCTACCACTTGAGCTACAGCGCCACTTCCAGTTTTTTGATGGTTTATTGGAGATAGGAGTCTCATGGTCTTTCCTGCCTGGGCTGGCTTTGAACCGGGATCCTCAGATCTCAGCCTCCTGAGTAGCTAGGATTACAGGCGTGAGCCACCAGCGCCCGGCTTTCTAGTGGTTTTTATTGGAGATAAGAGTCTCAGGGACTTTCCTGCCCAGGCTGGCTTTGAACCGAGATCCTCAGATCTCAGCTTCCTGAGTAGCTAGGATTACAGGCGTAAGCCACCGGTGCCCGGTTTTATTTTTTTATCATGGTCTGCAACATTTGTAAGTTCTATGAGCTTTGCAATACAGTTATTTCTTCCACGTTGGGTGATATGTACATTTCTTTTGTTTTGCATGGCATCAGCTGTTCCCTCTTTCCCACTTGTTCCCTCTCTCCCATCGCTGCCATTGAGTTGCTTAGTTCATTTTGATCAATGTCCAGTGCAGCTGATGGGTCCCCCTGTAGTATGTTTTCCCTGATTCTCTCTAGTTCTGTGTCCTCCTGGTTTCCCTCCAGTGTACACATATATACTATATATGTGATCAGCAGCATGGGGTTATTTAGTAGTGATTCGACCAGATGAATGGAAGTCCTTTGTTTCTTAATTAAGTCTTGTTAATTTTGTCATATCACCTTACATTTTGGATTTAACATCCACTTATCAGGGAGACCATGTGCCGTTTGTCTCTGCTCTTGGCTTACCTAGCTCAACATGATTTCTACTAGCTCCATCCATTTCCCTGCAAATGCCATTATTTTGTCCTTTCTTTTTTTTTTGGGTCCGGTCATGGGGCCTGAACTCTGGGCCTGGGTGCTGTCCCTCGGCTCTTCAGCTCAAGGCTAGTGCTCTACCACTTGAGACACAGCGCCACTTCTGGCTTTTTTCTGCTTATGTGGTGCTGAGGAATCGAACCCAGGGCCTCATGCTTGCAAGGCAAGCGCTCTACCACTGAGCCACCTTCCCAGCCCCTATTTTGTCCTTTCTAATGGCTGCATAATATTCCATTGTGTATAGATACCACAATTTTTGGATCCATTCATCTGTGGTGGGACATCTGGATTGTTTCTGTATCCTGGCTATTGTGAACAGTGCTGCAATAAACATTTAGGTGTGCATTTTATCTTTGTAGGTCATGAGGCTTGAACTTTGGGCCTGGGTGCTGTCCCTGAGCTCTTTCTCTCAAGGCTAGCATTCTACTACGAGCCACAGAGCAACTTCTGGTTTTCTGGTGGATAATTGGAGATAAGAATCTCACAGATTTTCCAAGGGGCTGGGAAGGTGGCTCAGTGGTAGAGCGCTTGCCTTACATGCATGAGGCCCTGGGTTCGATTCCTCAGCACCATAAGCAAAAAGAAAAAAAAGCCGGAAGTGGCGCTATGGCTCAAGTGGTAGAGCGCTAGCCTTGAGCTGACGAGCTGAGGGACCGCCTAGGCCCAGAGTTCAGGCCCCACGACTGGACCAAAAAAAAAAAGAATCTCACAGATTTTCCTGCCTGGGCTGGCTTCAAACTGTGATCCCAGATCTCACCCTCCTGAGTAGCTAGGATTACAGGCATAAGCCACCAGTGCCCAACTCTACACTGCCTTTAAAAAGTATATTTGCTGGATGCTGCTGGTTTATGCCTGTAATTCTAGCTACTCAGGAGGCAGAAATTTGAGGATTAGGGTTTGAAGCCAGCTTGGGCAAAAAAAAGTCCCCATGGGACTCATCTCCAATTAACCACTCAAAAACTGGAAGTGGTGCTGTGGCTCAAGTGGTAGAGCTCTATTCTTGAGCACAAAGAGGCTCAGGGACAGCACCCAGGTCCTGAGTTCAAGCCCCATAACTGACAAAATAAATTCATTATTATTTTAAAGGTGATGTACAGAGGACTTACAGCTCTGTGGTATGTGTGTGTGTGTGAGAGAGAGACAGACAGAGACAGCAGTTTGCTGTAACTAGGCTGATTAGCTGGGGCATGGGTACCATTGAAGCTCTGAGTTCAAACCTGGGGGCTTGGCTGGGATATGGCCCTGGAATCACACACACACACACACACACACACTATGTATTGAGTGCAAAATGAATACATACTGTATGATTCTATTTATATGAAGTTATAGACTAGACTAGATGGTCTTTCAGGGAAGGGAATATTCTGTATCTTTGTTTTTTGTTTTGCCAGTCCTAGGGCTGGAACTCAGGGCTTGGGTACTGTCCCTGAGCTTCATTTGCTCAAGGCTAGCACTCCACCACTTGAGCCACAGTGCCACTTCCAGCCTTTTCTGTTTGTGTAGTTCTGAGGAATCAAACCCAGGGCTTCATGCATCCTAGGCAAGCACTCTACCACTCGGCCACATCCCCATCCCCTCTAAATCTTAAATGAATATAATTTCATGAGGGTACATAGTTTTCCTGGCTTTATGCTTGCTAGGCAGGCACCCTAGCCATTTTTTGCTTTTTTTTTCTTAAAAAAAAAAAAAGGTCTCATGTTTATGCTTGTGTCTGAGCTTAAGCCTGTCATGCTCCTACTATAATTTCCCTTGTTTGTTGAGATGGGGATGTCACCAGCTGTTGCCTGAACTAGTCTTGACAATAATCTTCCCAATATCTGCCTCCCATTTAACTGGGATTACAGGTGTAAGCCACTGTATCTGGTTTGGGTATTCACATTTGTCAGAATTCATCTAGCTATTCACTGCACTATCTTAGCACAGTTACATTTTATTATAAGAGTAATACAGGTTTTTGTTTGGTTTTTGTTTTTGCCAGTCCTGTGGCTTGCACTCAGGGCCTGGGTACTGTCCCTGAGCTTCTTTTGCCCGAGACTAGCTAGCACTCTCCCACTTGAGCCACAGCCCCTCTTCCAGCTTTTTCTGTTCATGTGGTACTGAGGAATTGAACCTAGAGCTTCATGAATGCTAGGCAAGTACTCTAGCACTAAGTCACACTCCCAAAGAACAGTTCTATGATGATGTCAAACATTTTCTTTGTATAGATCTGCCCATTTCTGTGCTACATACTTTTTTGTTGTTATTGTCAGTCATGGGGCTTGAACTCTGGGCCTGGGTGCTGTCCCTCAGTTCTTCAGCTCAAAGCGAGTGCTCTCCCACTGGAGCCACAGCGCCACTTCCGGTTTTCTAGTGGTTTACTGGAGATGAGAGTCTCACCGATGTTCCTGCCCCGGCTGGCTTTGAACCGCGATCCTCAGATGTCAGCCTCCTGAGTAGCTAGGATTACAGGCGTGAGCACCCGGCGCCCGGCTGAACATCCCTAACTCTTAAGCTCCCAGCTCTGAACCAGCCAGCAGCTGTTCTAGGATGAAAGGCATTGCTCTACTAAAATAGAGCTGTCTAAAGGAAGTGGAGAGCCACACTCCAGACAGGTGAACAGCAAGCCTTGGGGAGAAGGCCTCCCCTCAGAGACGGGTTGCAGACGGACGAGTCTCACAAAGCGGAAAAGACTGTAACTCGTTACAGTCAAACCGGGCTTAGAAGTAGTCAGTGGTCCTACCGCGCCGCTATTTTGAGGCGTGGCTGTCTTCCACCTCCTGAGTGGAGTGGGAGGCTGGTGGCAGTGGGTGAGTATGTGGTCACTGACGGGCCCTCTAGCCCTGTACTCCAGCCATCAGAGGTGACCCCCAAGATAAGCACAGGGCTTTCACTCCCTGCATGGTCACCACCTAGGGAGAACACTAGGCACCGCCCAAGTCTGGGCGATTCCCTTATGGGCGGGACTTCACTAGTAGCCTCCTACTGATTGGCCGATTTCGGACACGTCTCAAGCCAATCAAAGAAGACCCGTCCCCCACCCGCTCCCGCCTTCTCGGACCCTGGGAAGCTGCATTCCGTAGGTTGGGTAGTGAGTGGCCGTGTTGCACACCACACCCCCTGCTGTCCTGCTCTCCTGTCACGTCACTGGATAGAAATGAGCCCATTCTTCCCAGAGCGAGTTGCTTTAGTCGAATAACGTGAAAAGTGGGTTAAGGCGGTCAGTCGCGAAGATGGGGAAAGTGCCCAGGTCCGCTCACTAAACGTCTACGCCAGCAAAAAGCCTACTGGCTCCCAGTGGCCAGTGAGCTGAATAGCACTTTAGATGAGCCGGTACAGTGACCAGGAGCGCGGCCATCTGAGCAGCCTGAAGCTTACTTTGGCTTATGGGCTGGTCATGCGTATCCTTGCAGTTATACTTCCAGAGTGTTTTGTTGAGCTGCAGATTAGTACTAAGAACCGTTACTTCCTGAGGGAAGACCAATGGACTGGCGGGCTTGGATTCCCGGCAACGCGCTGAGAGTTTGCTTGCTTTTGGCCCCTCGCGGTTCCTGTAGCGTCCTTAGGAATCGCGCCCCTAGAAACCGCCGGCCGCCCGCTGGGACGGTGGGTCGCTAGAGGCGGCGCCAGCTTCACTCGCCCCGGGCCAGCGCGGGCGCTCAGGCCTCGGAGCGGGGATGATGGCCGCCTCGCACCCCGCAGCGCGGCCGGCGGCCGGCTGTATTCACAGCCCGGGAAATACCACCGGAGCGTGGGCCGCCCAGTACCAACGCCAAGACCCCAGACAGGTTCTGGCGGCGGCGGCCGCCGCCCTGGGCGAGGAGGAGGAGGAGAGCGCGGTGCAGCCTGCGCGGGCGTCGGT